GAGGAAAAGAAAAACAGTGCATAGATGTAGGTAGTGATAATAAAGTGTTGATTACCAAATACCCACCTACTTATACTCTCTCAAATGCAATCCATCTCATCCCCATCATAACGGCACAACAGCAGTGGCATTACAGTTACATCGACGAAACAGGATGGTTTTCACGTTTAGCGATTAACAGTGGGTCAAGTGCCTAGCCAGAACACTTTTAGAGATTGAACAGCAGTCAATGAATCATCGTTGAAATCCGAGAAGGAGACTGTTATCAAACAGCTAGCAGAACGATATCAAATCGGGGCAGTGCCTTCCAGTCGGTATGTACAGCCTCCTGTTTAGTGCGCTTCACTGGATCTCGTGGCCAAGTCCCACCACACCTCATTGGTGGCAGTAGTGATAAAAATTCGCTCGGAAACATCCACTTTGAAAAGATGATTGCATCCAAGTTTGGTTCTACCTACCATAAATTTACTGGAGAACTATTTCCTGCACTTGTTTAAATTTTCTTATGACATTCGCAGAGTAATCACTGCTTAAACCACACCCACGTATAAGGCTGCCTACTTTGAAATTTGCCATCTGTTGCGAAAAGACTACTTGTTTTGGCTTCTCCTAAACGTAATGCGGCAAAAGTGACGCTAAAATCCGCTGAATTTACCAATATAGTTAGAAAGGAGCAAATTGAGAACACTCATTAGTTAGTACTAGTACACAACTCCTTTTCAAATCCTTTGACACTTACTTGAAATTTTGATGTTCCCTCGTATTAAAAAATGACCATTGATCTAACAAGGGCTGTTGCATTGTAGAAAGGGGCAGTAATGCCCTTAAATTTGGCAAAACAATGTATCCGGCAACTACCCAATACTCGATGTATTTTGTGGTGGAGAGGATTTACACAAACTTAAGGAAATATGTGCATACGCTTTAAGTAAACAGGCAATGTTTCTCTCGCATTTATTTACTTGTTTAAATGCGCACATCAAAAGTAGCCGGAATAATAACGTATTAGTACTTCAAATCCAAAAGATTATTTTGTAGTCGGTCTTCTATTGTTTCCTTCTGTTGTATTTTTTCCTCTTAAAAAGCCACACAATCGTATGTATCCAGTCACACTTAATCGAACGTGGTGTTGTCAATGGCAGGCCCGGTGAAGACTTCATCACATTTAGGCATTCGACAGCAGCTTATGGTCCACTGGACTAGATAAGGAGGAAAACAGGCAAAAACTAGGCGCGCACAATTTGCAAGCAAATAAGTACACTAGCTTAGTTCTGCCCGATTCACTGTTCTACGGATGCATTGTATACATATAGAGCACCATTAATTTAAGCAAATATGCTAGACGTATAGAAAGGAAGGTATGTTTGCATATACGTGATTCAAAAGTAAGAATGATAGGGGAA